ATAACTACATAAGACCAAGGTTATATTTGAATGTAAATATCAAATCTTTAACTGTACTTTAGATTCTTTTAGTGGCCTTAGAGCCCGTTTCATTGGCAAGATAAGATTAATCAATACAAGATTAAGAGGGTGTTTGGCTAAACTTATTTTAAACATCTGATAAGCTCTTACGTCTAATAAGATGTTTTAAGAGCTGATAAGCTGTTACATCTTATTTTTAGGATTAATTTTTAGAATGCTAGGATAATAAGCTTGTTTCCTATTTTTACTCATTATGAGATCAAATAAAAAAGTGGGGTAGAGGTACTTATTTAAAAATATCTTATTTGCTCTCCAACACCTTATCTTTAAAAAAAATTAAGATCTTTTTTAAAAAAATTACCAAACACTTTGGAAGAGCTTACAAGCTCTAAAACATCTTATAAGTTCATTTTAACATCTCATAAGCTTAGCCAAACACCCTCAAAAAAATTCATTAGAAGGCAAGATAATCCATGATTATATAATTTTGGCGGGTCGCCCGACAATTTATTGGGGATATCAAACATCAAATTAAGTCCAGTTATTTAGTTAATCATGGATTATCTTGGCAACCAAACGGGGCCTTAAGATATATGTCTCTATTATTAAAACTTATTAAAACTATATAACAACCTCAAGTAAAGCTTCACATTATTTATTAGGGATAATTAGCAAGACCCCCCTCATCTAGGTAAATGAGTTAAGAAACCTCCCCCTCCCAAAAATAATTAGAGAAAACCCCCTTACCTAATATCCTACCCAAATATTATTTAATAATTCTCAAACCACCCTTATTACCCCTAACCCAATACCGTTTTTTTTTTCTCGTCTTCTCTCTTCTGCCGTTCTCTCTTCTTCTTTTCTCGTCTTCCCTCTTCTTCCCTCTTCTCGTCTTCTCTCTTCTCTCTTCTCTTGGCAATTACCTCCGCCATGGATTATCGGTCAGAGGATAATGCCTTTGTATTCGCCACCCAACTGGCCATGGCGGCGGTGTTCCCAGCAGCACTCAAAACCGCCGTGGAGCTCGACCTTTTCGAGCTCATCAAGAATTACGGCGCCGCCGTCTCCGCTCGGGAACTCGCCGCCCAGCTTCCCGGCGCCGCCAATCCCGACGCACACGTCATGCTCAACAGAATTCTCCGCCTCCTCACCAGTTACTCTGTCCTAAATTCTAGCCCCAGAAATCTCCCCGACGGCGGCAGCGGCGGCATTGACTTGGTGTATTCTTTAGCTCCGGTTATTTATTTTATTCTTGTTAGGGATTGGTTGAATAGTGTATTGTGGCAGCGGTGTGGTGACGATGGGGAGGCAGATTTAGGGTTTTTTGTTGGATTGGGCGGATAACGGCGCGTGTAGAGAATTTCGCGCAGGCTGAAACCTTAATCGACTATGTACATATTCATAGTCGATTAAGCTAATCGACTATGTTCAGGTAGTCGATTAATTAAGGTTGATCTACTCCAATTTTTTTTTTATAGTTTTTTTAGATTTTTTGAATATTGATTCCAATTGTATAAATCAATTATAATGTTTGTATATTTTTTGTTTTTGTAATATATAGGTGATTTTGCATTTTTTCACAGTTGTGATTTGTTATTTTCAGTAGCAGATTCTTAATCGACTATGCGCTGGCATCGATTAAGGTTGATCGACTCCAATCTTCTTTTTTATTTTTGGTTTTTTTGTTTATTGATTCCAATTGTATAAATCAATTATAATGTTCTTATATTTTTGTTTTTTTGTAAAATATAGTTGATTTTGCATTTTTTGTAGTTTTGATTTGTTATTTTTAGTAGCAGACTTTTGATCGACTATGCTTCATCACAGTCAATTAATAAACCTGATATAAAAAAATAAATTAAAGAACAAATTTTTTTAAAAAAAAATAAAGAATTTCCTTAATCGACTATGAAGCACAGTCGATTTAAGACTAATCGACTATGCTTCATAGACGATTAAAAAAACGGAAAAAAAAATCGCGTAGCATGGACCCAGTGATGAGGTGGCGAGCGGGGGTAAAGTTGGAAAACATAATGGCTGTAATTGGGACATGAGCTTTTCTCAAATGGTCTAAAATATTTTAGGCCTATCCCCATTAAAAAAAATTACAGAGGTTATGTCAAAGAAGCCCTATTTATTCAATCTATTTTAAAATTGCCAACTACACCATGAAAAAAATTCTACACCAAATAATATTCAAATTGCATTTATCATTTTTTATCATGCGTGTAAATTAAACGCACG